CCTGCAACAGCTCACCAAACCTCCCTATGTGGGGTGGGGCTGAGCGGGTGGGGTGAGCCGGCATGGACAGCAGCTTTAGCAGGTCCAGCCTCCAGCCTGCTCTACCCTGAGGAGGGCCTTGATCAGATGGCCCAGTCCTTGTTGGGAACCTGCCGGCTGCATCTACAACTGATGCTGGTGCCCACCGGGCACCGCTTCTGGCGTGTTGGCCTAAAGTTGGTGTAGACTGCGGGGATGTCCTGTAGGTATGTGACGGTTGAGGGGAAGGAGGGGGAAAAGGGAGAAACAGAGAGGCAGCCCTGCCCAGCATGAGTTGCAGTGGTCAGTGCTGGGTGCTGGGCAAAAGCAGGACCTGATAGCAGGTGTGCTGACTGCTGCCATGGCTCTTCTGGCTTGCAGCCATCCAGAGCCCACGCTGGGGCTACCCTGCAGCTCCTTCCTGCTGCTACTATTATGCTGTGGGCCTGGAGTGGCTTGGAGGTGGCTCAGGGCAGTGGCGTTGGGGAAGAGCCACAGGGTAACCCTGGCATGGGCTCCGAGCAGCAGCAGCCAGAAGGGCCCCAGCAGCAGCAAGCCAGTCTGCTGCCAGGTGAGTGCTAACTCGACTCCTGCCCTGGTGTGACATACAGTGAGCCTGCTGGGTCTTGCCATTGTCCTGGTGTTAGTACTAACCCAATCTCTTCCATCTCTCTGCCCTCCCCCACTACCATTTTCTCTTTTTAGTCCTTTTTCTTTATTTCTCTTCCCTATCCCTTCACTTTGAAGTTTTCTTTTGTCCCCCAAGACTTTTCTAGCCCTAACCACTCTGGCTGTCACCTGCTGGCTGCAGCGGGAGGAAGTCACATGGTGGTTTCTCTGCCTCTGAGCTACATGCCATCTGCAGAGGAGGGATAGAGTCCTGGCTTCTGTCCGCACCCTGCTTCCCGGGCCCCCTAGTGGCAGGCCACCATTATGCCATGTCAGACCTGCACTAAGTCTTAACCTATGAGTAGGGACCTACTAAAATTGAGGAAGCAGGCAGCCGATTTTATGGGCTGATCATGAGGCTGGCCACCATTTTTGCAGGATTATTGCGGTGGGGCCCTTGGCATCTCTGGTGGAGGGGCCCTGGTGGCCCTGCCTCTTGCCACTGATCGGCTAAAAGGGTTGTCCTTCACATGGCCCCCGCCCCTTGCTGCCTGTTGGAGGAGAGGGGCAGGGCTGCATGACGGCCAGCCCTCTTAGCCAGTTAGCAGCAAGAGGTGGGGGCGTCCGCTGTCTTGGCTGCTCCCCTTCATGTTGATCCATCTTCCCCCCTAGCTGGCTGCAAGGGCTGGGCTGCAGTGGCCTTTAGTACAGTTGACTCCCACTGAGGAGCCAGCATTTTACTAAAACATTTTATTTTTAGTAATTTTTTTGCTCATTTTACAGACGTCTTACTTCACAGTTTCTACACAATCGCAAATTGAGTAGATCCCTAACTATTACAGTTCTGAAACTGTTCCAACTTTATGACTTTATGTAACATTCCACAAATTTTAAAGTGTTTTAAAGATAACCTGTAGTAGTAGCCTAAGATGATCAAGGGAATGGAGAACCTAGCTTAAGAGTGAAAAATGGAAAGCTTGGGTTGTTTGAGCTAGCAAAACAAAAGCTGAGAGAGGATATGACTGCTTTCTACAAATATAAAGAGGAAACATGCCAAAGAGGAAAAACAATGATCTAAGTTAAACTGTCTTTTACTAAATGTTGGCAGAAGAATAAATGAGTGTTTATGGCTTTACAAATTAAGGGGGCTCTTCATGTATCCTGCATAACTTATAATGTGCTCTAAAAGTGGGGAAACACAGTCTCTCTTTATCAACCAGGTTTTGACTTGTATTCCTTGCTGTCCTGTGAGGCTCAATGTTAATTATTTTAAACTAGCCAAAGTCAGTCTTCTGATTTATTTTATTTTATTTTATTTTATTTTTTTTTTGGAGGAGAGATTTTTAGATTTATAAGGAGTAGATAGGTGCCCTCCCCTCCCCTCCCCTTTATTCCAGTTTTCTTCTTTAATACTCTTTATGCAGGGAAACAAACTGAATCAAAATGTGTGTGTGTTTTTTAACAGCTTGATAAAACCAGGATCCAAGGCACCAACAACTCCAGTGAAACTGAAGAAAGTCAGTACCTTCCAAGAATTTGAAAGTAATACAAGTGATGCTTGGGATGTTGGGGATGATGATGATGAACTTTTAGCAATGGCAGCTGAAAATTTAAATACTGATGTGGTCATGGAAACAGCTCACAAAGTAATTCAGAATCACAGCAAGTTACAAGAGCAGCATAAACTTCAGGAGGAACAGATACAGGAAGAAAAATCGGTGCAAACTTCCGAACTTTCTTCAGTTGCCCTCGGTGACAACAGGCTGGTCAAGTCAGTCAGTGAAAGTCATGCATCATGCTCTGCAGGTATGTTAAGATATGAGAAGGATACTGGCTGTAGGTTGTAATGAGCCATCTATAACCTTCCCTTTTGAGATTAAAAAGATAAACGTGACATTAATTTTAATATTTAGTACTGTAATAAAATGATGATGAATGCTGATTTCATTATAGTGGCATGTCGCATGTGTGGCAGGAAGCCACCTTTGTTTCTCCCCAAAATCTCTGTGGTGTGACAATTTGATTAGGGTGGGCCCAGCAGAGGAGACGTACCTTTACCCTATCTCCGTAGGTAACCTGAGCTGGCTACATTCCTGAGGGAGAGGGGAAATCTGCTCCCTCTGCCTACTGACTGGTATCAGGTACCTGGGTGAGGGGCTTCTACCTGGTGGGCTAGAGTCTGCCCGGCAACTAGTGATGTATTTCAAATTGGTTGGCCGACAGCCAACAGGTGCTGGCCTCCTTTGGACCAGGTGAATGAGGTCACAGGGGCTATATAAGTTAAGACTGCCCAGGAGGAGGGGGCAGCAGGCATGTGGGGGACTCAGACTTAGAGAGGAGCTTTACTATCTGAAACTGGCTCTCTCCCCCATAACTCATG